CCCGCCCGCTGCCCCTGCCAGTAGCTGGTGAGGGTTCCTGCTCTAGCCCAGGGGGGTGGGTAGGTATTTATATTATTATTGTTATAATTTAATTTATCGAGTCTCTGCCCCGAGTTTCTCGCTGATGAACTACTTGTTTCTCGTTTCTCCCCGGGATCGCCGGTCTCAGGTGTGGGCTGCCATAGCCTTCCATTCATTTCCAGGTCGCGGGTGCCAGGCTGCAGGGATCGGCGGGAGCCGGAGGAGTTCACTCCTTCATTGACCCGCCTCCCTCCCCGGGATCCTAGAGAGGTTGGGAGAAAATGGCTCATGGATGGCGGCAGCTTGCACTTGTTACCATTCACTTTAATAGGTCTGGGTTTTAACCAGAGAGTCCATTTAAAGTTGTGGTCTTTCTCAAGCTATATTTGGGTCACGGTTTATGACCCCCTGTGAGTCAGGGGAGGATGTCTGTATCTCTAGGGCTGAGAGAACCTGACCGGTTATTACTTGAAAATATTGCAATATAGTCGCCCATAAAAGTCCAGGAAGGGGGCAGAGGGGGGAATCAAGGTCATTGTGGGCGGGTCATAAATCATAGTGCAAAGTTAGTCTGAAGTAAAGAGGACTCAGGGTAAATGAAAAACGTGTCAAATGGATCTTCATCTTCGTTTGCTAATCTGTGTGCTTAAAAAAATTCACTACCTCCCTTGTGATGGTAATAATAGTATTAATAATAATAATAATGTAGTATGTGTCATCCCAGGAATAAAATGCGTTTGATGTAATATCTTGTTAAATTCTTCCAACTTCACAGATTTTTATTTTATTTTAAAGATAAAACCTAGAGAGGTGCTTTATTTTGCCTTAGTTATGTCTTAAGGGCAAAAAGATGTTTGAAGATGAGATGATGTGAGGAATCAATCAGAAAGAAAGAACCACGTGAGATTTGGTGTTGTGGAAGGGAAACTAGATTTTAGTCCCAAAGCTGTCATGGGTAGGTCACTGACCCATGTGGTTTTCTCATCTCTACAACCAAGAAGTCAGGCTAAATTCTGTAAGGCTTATTCGCTTCTTCATCCTTACTTGGCATATGTATGTTTGTAAGTAATTTGAGACCCTTTGACATGTTAAAGGTACATTTAAAACATTTCATTGAAGAAATATTGGTAAAATTATACCAAATATAAGTAAAAATGTATAATTCCATACTTGTGGAATAGTGTTTGGTGTAGAGCTCTTCCAGAATTCCTCATTTTGGATATAAAGCAACAGGATTATACGAGGTCCCTTCAAACGGTTGTTGATTTCTGTTAAGCTTAACATACTTTAGAAGCTGTAGTTGGAGTAAATGAAATAGAGCATATTTTGAATAAAATGGTGCTGAGTTACATTGCCTACCTCCGATTGTTTAATTTAATGAAAGAAATTTGAGCATTGTAAAATGCATGCACAGAACCATTAGCCACCGGTAGGTTCTAAAACAAGCAGTAATCAGTGAATCATAAAAGTGTTACTTATTTGCCCACTTCCTGATTTCTTTAATCGGTGGGGACTGATTCAGAACTTTCAAAAGAGTATAGATAAAATAATGCCATGTATTAGTGAAGAAGTGAATTGAAAAGTCCAGTAATGTCTCCATGGAGCTTTTATTCCGGCATTGTAATTGAGTGAGTCAATAACATCTCTTTCAGCTTAGAAGGCCACATGGTGATGGTGTCAGTATTATCAGGCATAACGGGCAAGGCAGAGGAAAAGCTATTTTTATTACCAGAAAGTTGTTCCCTAAGCTCAGTTTTACTTTTATACTAAAGAATGAGGACTTTTTATTTAGTAAACTATTAGGGCTCAGATTCAACTTTTCAAATGCACTAAATATAAATGGCATTTTATCATTTAGTAGAGTAATCAGTACATTAATAACTCTTAAGTTGAAAATGTTTGAACTGCTTTTGAATCAGTAAAAAATATAGGTGAAACACAAGAGTGGAAAAACACCAGTCTTTCTTATCGTCACAGTAGTAATTTTTTGGTTAAGAATCATTGGTAAATTGAGTTAGCCCTAGTTTTAAAAGCCCATCTTCGTAGACATGAAGTAGCACTGCTCACATTTTCACAAAGTCTTCCTGGAGAACTCAGCAATTGAATCAGAATTCGTTAATTATGCATTCTTCATTATCTTCGAAAATGGGGTCCTGATATTTGCTATGCTTCATTCTATAATTCACCTGTCCTTCTGCTTTTACTGAAAGAGATTTAGTGTACAGGCTTCAGTTCAGTCCGTTTTAGATGGCATCTCTGTTCTTGGTTTTCTGCTTGAAGAGACCTCATGCCAACATGTGGAATGCAACCTCCCTACATGCTTATGGCATGATACCAGCTGAAAGGCTGTACCACCTGAGGTTTTTCATCCTGACCAGTAGTTCTCAGACTTCAGTGTTAGAGAAAGTAGGTAGCTGCCATATGGTTAAGTGGTACCACCACTTTAATGATGGGGAACCAGAATCATTTTTCATTCTGGAGTTTGTAAGGCTAGAAGTAGAACTCATCTTTAAGTTTCCCTTCCTCATTTTTGGAGGTGCTTATCATTTGCAGTTTCTCATTTAATCACGACAATTACCCCGTGAGTTAATATTTTTATCACCATTTTACAGATGGTTAACTGAATTCTGAAAAGAAACTGAAGCTTGGAGAGCTAATAAAAGGCTGCGTCATAATTGGAATGTGGCTCTCTTTAATATTTATACAAAATTAATTTCCTGTTCCATTGAAATAAATTGAATACCAATGTGGTTTTTTTAAAAAATGAATACTTCATTGGCTAATTATTAAGGATAGCTATACTTGATCCTTTAAGTAGAATTATTTAACTTGACCAATTTTCAGAGTAGATAAAATCAGAAGTTAAATAGCTGTATAAATTTATGCTTAAAGTTATATAGTTGTACCTTTGTTTTTAAATTTTATTTTAAGCTGCAATTATAGGTTTATATTATATATATATCTATTTTTTTTTCTTTTGTCCCTGTGGGTAAATTTTTTTTCTTTCTGGTATGCCCTATAACTTGTTGATTGTATTCTGTTAGACCTAGCAATGTTACAAATTTAATTACATTGTATAGTTATGAGAGTTTGGAATATTCTTTGTTATCCCAAAATTTCTTGAATTTTTAAGACTAACATTGCTTTTATACCACTTAGAGGAGATTTGATCCCACAGTGGTGGTGATGTTGTTGAACTAGATGAAATGTTCATCTCACTTTGGATACATTAGCTGCAGTGTAGCTCTAACAACTATAAGTATAAGGTAGGATTTTTTCTTGACTTTAAGCCAGTGAATGACTGGGGTTTGACTCATGGATGGTTGACCTGTGCTATTTCCTAATGTTACTGACAGAAACTGCTGTGCTGAGACATTGGGAAGCCACCATGGAGTCATAGTCTTCGCAGCATTATTGACCTTGGCCATGTTTCAGGACATTTTGATGTCCCACATTTAATTCTGCTTGAGATTTGTTTCTAGAAGATGAACTCATCCATTTTCCATTAGAGCAGCAGCTCCTTTGCTTTCTCCTTCCATATTTTGTCTCTAAGAAACGAAGGTACAGCCAAGAAAGTTAGAGTAGAAATACATTACCTTTGACAATATAGCAATCATGGACCATAGAAAAATTGACCCTGGGAGAAAATAGTTCTTTTTTAAAAAGTATCTACGGGGAATGGAGATGTAATGATAATGATTTTGATGTATTTTTTATATTCTCAGTACATAATAGTTTCTCATTGCTATGATAAGCAGTATGCTTCACAAATTCACAACTTGTCCTTAATTTCCTGTCTCAGAGAATGGTACCACCATTCACTTAATCCCTCAGCCAAAAACTGGGGAACCATCCTGGCCTGTGCTCTTTGCTTCCAGTTGTTCACCAACTCCTATAAGTTTTCCTTATTAAGTTCTTTATTGCCCTTTTCCAACATGCCTGCTGTCTTAACTTTTCCATCCTCTTCCCTCCCCTCCCTACTTCTCTTATAAGTTACGACTTTTGGGGTGTTTACCAGGTGCCCTCATTTTTTATGTGGGTAACCGTTAAGCCTATCGTATTTCATTTAGTCAGTCTTGGAGCCTTATCCACCCACTTAAAACACTTGGAGTGCGGGAAACGAGTTAAGTCGGCTCGCGTGAATTGCGCGTACTCCGCGGGAGCCGTCTTTAACTCGGTTCATATAGATTTGCGGTGGAGTGCGGGAAACGTGTAAACTCGGGCCGATTGTAACTGGGTATTACCAAATATTTGTTTGTAATCCACCCTTTTGGTGGATGGAACAAAACCAAAAGACAGAGCCATCTTATATTTTGGCGGGAAATTCACCCGCACTCCAAGTGTTTTAAGACCATACTTCAAAGTGTTGCTCTTCTTTCCAAAACGCAAGTTCATCATGGAATTCTTCTAAAAATCCTTCAGTGGTTTCCAGTGTGTTCAGGATGCAGTCTAAACTGATTGGCATGGTTTAGCAGTGTTTTTTGCTTTTGGATCATTCTCTGCTTGTAAGTCATGAAATAATATCATAGTGCATCACATAGAGTAAGGGCAATCATGTCATTAAACTTTTTCAGATATGTATTTCAAATATATACCTATATATCTCATATATTTGTGTGTACTAGTAACGTCATGAAATATATTTTTTGGAGTTGATTGTGGTCAAAAGGATAGATATGTTTTATCCCATTTTTCCATATGAAATGACTCTTGTCATTTCAGCTTAATTGGATTTTCTCTGCCTGCCTTTATACCTTTGCTTACTTGTTCCCTAGTTCAGACGAGCCTCCATTCTTCATTTAGCTAATTCACAGATTTCACTCTCTCCAGAAATCTTTTCCTGATGGCAATTTACCATGAGAAGTACATTTTGTATTACAGCCTGGTACACGAGTAAATGTTCACTTAAGTGAAGAAAGTGCCATGAAACAACATCCTTCCTATATGAGATGCTCTTTCCCCCTGCCCCTCTGTCTTACCTTATCTTACCTGGTATTGGTCTTGTCTGTTTACTGTCTTTCTCCATTGAGGATAGGGCCTCTCTCTTATATTTATATCCAGTGCCAAAGCACAGGATATAGTCAGTAGATGTTGATTAAATTAATGAAATCTTTGAATCAGTATGTGTTATCTAGAACTCTTTACAATATTATTATTATTTAAGCTTGAATTGTAGAAACTAACTTTTATGAGTGCTTCTCTTAATGGTTTTATTACAGGAGGAAAACGTTTTTCCTTAAAACATTTTAAACTAAAACTTGCTTCTATTTTAAACTCTCAATGTTATGCTTATCAATTGTGATTAGATAGTTCTAGCTTCACATTAATGTAGACATTACATTGCATTTTGTCTCATCAGTGATCTCAGAATCGATTGTCATTTTGTGATTTGTGGTCAGGAAGCTTGATGAAGCCCAAATGCTGTACACATAATGCTGATTTGATTTTATGGGAACTAAGTGGTTTCAAAAGAAAGAACTTTCATGTACAATGGTAATCAAATGCACATTTTGGGGGGATGGTGTGGGATCTGAAAGCACAGGATCAGGTGGACTTGAATCATCTTATTTCTTAATTTAAAATTTTGTAATTGACATTTTCTCAGGTTATTTAGCTGCTTACAATTTTTATCTTTGTGAGAGATAATTATTTGTTAAATCATTAATAGATTATTATGGAGAACTATTATTGAAGAGAGATCCATTTGTTGGCATGTAATAAAAAAAGAATGAATCAAGATAAAACCTCTAAATGCAAGTACCAGAAAAATTACAACGCATCACAGTGAATTTGCAAGTGGTAAGTCTGCATTTAATTTTACATGGGAATATGTTTCTGAATTATGTGGCATTGTATCCTTAATTCTTTAGATAGATTTTAATAATTGCTCATTTGCAAAAAATAGTAGTTTCCTTATATTTATTTAAAGTTATTCACATTAAATTTTAACTAAACATTTTCTTAGAGGATAAAAAATGTCTAGGCTTTTCCATAGAGAAAAATAATCTGTAAGTAATATACATTTCAGAAGCATCTTTCAGGATTATAAATCTTATGTGGCTTTACAGTTGATGCTTCTTCATTGCATTTTTTAAAATATTAATTTTAAAAGCATTTAAGATAAGGGCAATACATAGTGATAAAGAGGCTTAATTTAAACATTTTGTTTGTAAGGCTGTGGTGTCTGCCAGCCCGTAGGCTATCTTTATTTTTCAGTTGGTGGAAAAGAATTCAGAAGTACATATGTTTACTAATAAACTTAGGAGAACACAAAATACATACATAAAATGTGAAAGCCTTCCTTCTCATTGCTCAGTCCTTCCTCAGCCCAGTGATAACCACTGTTAACAGTTTGGAGGTGTGCTCTCTTTCACACTTTTTTCTGATCCATATACAGAATTTACTCATACTTTGCTTCTAACAGAATCATGTACACAATTTTCTATAACTCGCTTTCTCCTTCAACATTTAATTATAAAAAACTTTAACAGGAGAGCTGAAAGAATTATAGTGTAACATCTGAATACCCGTCACCTACATTCACAACTAATATTTTACTGAATTTCATCACATTCTCATCCATCCCTCTGTCCACCTAGCAATCTCCTTTAATTTTTTTGGATCCTGTTCAAAGTAAATTGCAGCTATCAGTACACTTCCTCCCTTTCTTCCCTCTCTCCCCAGTACTTAAGCATACATATTATTAACTAGAGTTCAGTGCTGTTTTACAGGGTTTTTAAAAAGGTAAATGCACATACCATGAAATGCAACACTCCTAAGTGTGTATTTGCTGCGTTTTGACAGTTCATGACCTGTGTATCGCAAAGTTGTATCAAGATAGAGATCTGTATCAGCGCCACAGAAGTTCCCTTCTGCCCTTTCCTAGTCGATCTTTTTTCTCCTCTCTCTCCAGGAAACCACTGACACCCCTGCCCCCATAGACTTTGCCTGTGTAACTTGACATTATATGTGAGCAGCCACATGGAGGTCTAGAGCTACCTCATTTTTCCCCTTTTAAATTTGTAGTGACTTGGAAATAGTTTACACTATGGATGTTATAATTTATTTACTCATTCCTCTCCCTCTACATGGACATTTAGGTTGTGCCATACTATTGTGATTAAAAAAGTGCTGTATAGAACAGACCGGTACACTCTAATGAGTATTTTTTAGGTATTCCTGGAAATAAAACTGCTGGGTTAAAGAGTTTGACATATACTGCCAGATTGCCCTCCAAATGATTGTATCAGTTTACATGCTACCAGTGTGTCCTTTTCTCTCTGTCCTGTCAACATTGGATGTCATCTTCCTTTCTAAAATTTGTCAATACCAAAGATGAACAATGTGCCTAGTTATTTCACATTTTCCTAATCACTGGTGATTAGCCATTGCATTTTTCTTCTGTGAATTGCCTCGCTAAGTATTCATTTTTTATGCTTCTTATTAGTCATATGTTATTATTTTCCAGGGATGCTTTGTCTTTTAACTTCATTTTTGGTGTGTCTTTGGCTTCAGAACTTTTTCCTTTATGTGGTCAAACTTGGCTTATGGGTCTCGTTTGTGAAGGCCTACCTCATCCCAAGATTATAAAACCACTTGCTATTTTCTTCTACTAGTTTTGCTTTTTTATTTGGAATAGAAGAGAAAGAGAAATCACTGTGAACTGAGGTACCAGGAAAATTTTTATATGGAGAGTGAGATTCAAATTGACCTTGAAGTATGAGGTGAATTTGGAGTAAGCAAAATGGTAAGAACATTTCAGATAGGAGAAATGGGAGATGGAATACATTCTTCATATTCATGGAACAGTAATAAGATCACTGGCCGAGGTGGAGAGTTGGCTAAACCTGTAAGTTTAGACAGATATGTTTGACTATATTTCTTGTAAATTATGTTGGCAAATTTTTATCATTTTCTAAAATCTGAAAAGGCAATAAAGGAAAGGTGGTTTCCTACCAGAATAGTTTGAACATTGTAAATATTTATGTAGTCCAGTTTATTAGAGTTGAATTATAGTTTCTCTAAAAAAAGTTTGTGCTGTAGTAATTTACATCATTAATTATGTAGACACAGCACTCAAGTATATTTAGTTACCAGATAGCAATCTTTAAAAATGTTGAAGTACCAGTATGTCCACTAGTTACATCAAAGTTTAGTTATAAGCTCATCATTTAATATACAAATTAATATGTTGGGATCTTTGGCTAATGAAAGTATTTTACAAATGGCACCGGAGTAGCAGCATTGCGTTCAGTTTGGTTGTTGCTCAGGATGTGTAATAGTTTCTGTTCAGTCATAAGCCACGCCTAGTTGTCATTAACTGAGTGGAGTGATCCTGCAACTCTACTAGTTAAGTGTTTCCGGTTGTAATCTGATTTGGAGCTCTTGGGAGACTACTGTTTTCTTCTCTACAGTCCAGTTGTAAGGGTTATGTGGCACTAATTTTCACTAATCAGGTATTTAAAAAATATTCAACATATTATTTGCTTACTGTTTTATTTTTTTATCTTTTGCTCACTTTTCCTTGAGCGTGCTTGTTCTTTTAGAGTTTGTTACCTATATGTTTACATCCAGAAAAATAGATACGTTGTAACTATACTTTTCACTATCTAATATTTTCTGTTGTGAGGAATCTCTCTTTTCTACTGAAAAAATTTGTTCTCTGGTAGAGGAGAATAAAAATAAAGTTAAAAAATGAATGAGTATTATATAATTTTGCCACTCGTTTTGCTGGCTTGTTTGCTCTTCTGTTTCTAATATTAATAAATCTGGAAATAAGTTATTAAATTACTCTATTCTGTATAATTATTGTAATTCATAATTTGTTGTTTAATCCTGAATGGAACTGAAACATTTAGAGAAGTTACATGAAGTTAATAATATTGAATATGTTGAGAGACAGAGCCTTCTGTTGTTTCTTTTAGCACGCGATGGTTGGCAAGACTGTAAATGTAAACATTTTTTTAGTGTTTCTCTTTTTAGCTTTGGTAGATAGCTTATCATTTTTATTTGAGCATCTTTAGTTTTTAAAATGATACCTAGTAAGTTAAATAGCATGTTTTATCCTCTCTGACTTTTCTCGCTTAAATGATACTGATAGGTATTTTAATTTTCTAATTAAAAGGTATTGAAGTTCAACTTTTACTTTCTTAAAGACCTAGGCGCTATTCATGTTTTAGATTTCATATGTAAGGACTAATTTAGACCATATCTGATTTCATCAGTTGAGTGGTGGTGCATTTGAGTTCCCATCTTATTTTTAGCTGCCCCAATATTTGTAGCTTCTAGGAATGATAGCATAGGGGTGTTCTTTTAAAATTAAGTAATCCTTAATCTTTTTTTTTCTTTGTTCTGGTAGCTTTAAAGAACATTGTCAAGGCCTCTAAGAGTTGGTAACCTAAAGCTTTTCAACTGATGATAAATTATTCTAAGAATTAAGTAGTCTGGGATATAAACTGAAATCTGGGAGTCATCCTTGACTTTTTCCCCTGTGATCCCTAATATCCAGTCAATTAGTAAAATTACTGGTTTGATTCTAACTATTTCTTCAATTGATTTCTTCTCCAACTGATCTTTCATCTTTCTCACCAGAGTGTCAATAATTTATTTTAAAGTATAAATCTCATTAGGTTAAATCCCTGCTTCAATAGCTTTCCAATGCCTAAGAATGACGTTTTAATATTCTTTTTTTTTTTTTTGTAAATGTGTTTTTATTGACTTTAGAGGGAGAGGAAGGGGAGGGTGGGAGAGAGAGAGAGACAGACAGACAGAGACATCTATATGAGAGAGAAACATAGATCAGCTGCCTCCTGCACATTCTCTACTGGGGATCCCGGAAACCTGGCCTCGTGCCCTGATCAGGAATCGAACTGTTGACCTTTTGGTGCACGAGACACTGCTCAACCAACTGAGCCACACCTTCCAGGAATGAAGTCTTAATATTTTAACATGGCATCTCTGTGTCCTTCTTGATGTAGCCCCTTCTCACCACTGACTCTCTCTCCACTGAAAGGTTTGTGATTTACGATGGCAATTTGTAATAACTCCTACAACTTTTACCCTGGTATACCTCTTGCTCTTCCTTCTGTTTACAGTATTGTCACTTTTCTTTACTTGAATAACTTACTCATCTTTAGTACTGAACTCAGGTTTCACCCCCTATAGGAAGTCTTGCCCTGATTTAATTAGTCCTCGTCTTTTGTGCCTCTAGTAACAATTTGTCTACATCTCTGGAACTTACCATATTATATTAAAACTATTTTATGACTCTCTTCCCCATTAGACTGTTAATTGCTTTAAGCAAAGGCCATGTCTTATTCATTACTGTGTCTACACAGGTAACTGCTGTACAGTGGAGGCTCAATGAATATTTGTTGAACTGAGTTTAACTCATTGCTGTAACAGTAAGGTCTTAGTGAAGCTCCTGAATTAGTGGTTCATAGATACCACTCAGCTGTGTCATATACAATTGGGGAACATTTTTAACATTTTGTTGATTTTTGAGCTTTACTTTGTAAAGCATTATGATTCAATAGATCTGGATTGGGGTCTGGGAATAGTATTTTTATTTTTATTTTATTTTATTTTTTTAAAAATATATTTTATTGATTTTTTCAGAGAGGAAGGGAGAGGGATAGACAGTTAGAAACATCGATGAGAGAGAAACATCAATCAGCTGCCTCCTGCATACCCCCCACTGGGGATGCGCCCGCAACCAAGGCACATGCCCTTGACCGGAATTGAACCCGGGACCCTTCAGTCCACAGGCCGACGCTCCATCCACTGAGCCAAACCGGTCAGGGCTGGGAATAGTATTTTTAAAAATCTCAGTTGATTCTGGTTTGTGAAACATCGTAGTGTATTAATGTATTATGTCATTGTATTTTATATTATAATTTATTGTTTAAGCTTATAAGTTACATCTAAAGAATGGATTTTTAAAGTCATTTTCTTTTTTTTAACATAGGTATAGAAGTATCTTAACTTTAAGAGTCTCATTATTAACACTCAACTGAAAAAAGCCTTGATAGTAATAAGATTAATTGGTCTTCATTCAACAAATTTAATTATGTTGGTAATTTTTAATTGCTTTTCACTTTTTATTATAATTTTTCAAAATGATTTATAAGCATTGTACTTTGGTTTAAAATGAAACTAAATTGCACAAATCTTAAGTGTACAGCTCTGTGAATTTTTACATATGTATATACCCATGAAACCTACCCAGGTCAAGAGATAGAACATTTCTAACCCCTCTAAGGTTCCCTTATGTTCCTCTCCAGTTAAACACCCTTCCCACCACAAAATGACTGCTATTTTGACTTGGATGACCATCAGTTAGTCTTATGATTAAAACTACTAAAAAATTATATAATATATATATATATTTTGGTGGATATGTTTACTCATTTTTGGGGGGTTTACACATGGATTTTCTGGGTTAAGGACAGACTTGTGTTTAACTTCAGAAGGTAGTGCCAATTTATATTCTATGATAGCAATTCATAAAAAAAATCATAATTAAATTATTTGAAGCTTATGGTGAAATTTGAATATCCTGAAACTTTTTTCTTTTCTAAAGTATTTTATTTTGTCAAAAATATACACAGAAAAGTCAACAGGTATTATGTTATAGTTGCCAGTAAGGTAATTTTGTTTTAGTCAAATACTTTTTTCTCTATGCTAGTAAGTAACGTTTTTCCCTCTTTCTCTCTCCGTAGGATTGTCTTTCCTGTGGGTTGGCAGGCAGTTGTAGGACTGCAAAATGGGTCTCCGGATTCACTTTGTTGTTGACCCACATGGTTGGTGCTGCATGGGTTTGATTGTCTTTGTCTGGTTATACAATATTGTTATAATTCCCAAAATTGTCCTCTTTCCTCACTATGAAGAAGGACATATTCCAGGCATATTAATAATAAGTAAGTTTCTAGGTCTTTATTTCTTTATATAATTAAAGATTTTCTTCATTGTGGATGTTTTTGGAATATAGTGCTACTATATTAATCTTCCTTTTAATATTAGTGCTATTAATACTAAGTTATTTACTGAATTATGGAAATTTTAAAAAATAATGTCCTTTATATACTGTTTTGCAGGGTTAGATAAATGGGTTAGATATCTAACTCTACAAAATCTATAAAGATCATTTTATTTAAAAAAAGATACAATTGTGTTAATTTGTGTATTTTTAATATTTCTGTTATGTACTTACTGCAAATGTATAAAGAGTTTAAGTATGAAGATGGTATACATTAATGAGAAGTAAGATTTTTGTGATACAAATGTTCATTATGACACTTTGAACTTCTACATAATTACTTTCTGCTATAATTCATTGGTGATGACTTGCTTATGATTAAATTTGAAATGACATATTTTACATATACATGGCATTTACAGTTTCCATATACAGTATGTCATTTTGACCTCACAAGAGCTATGAGAAATATGGTTTCTGATATATAAATGATAAAATTGACCAGTGCCATGCTGTCAGCCCTGGAGTTAACACTTGAACTAAATTTCCTATTACAGGTGCAGTGCCCTCTCCTCCACCCCACCCTCAAAAAATGCCTATTCTTTTATTCATTTAAAAGGTTGAATTTTGATGAATGAATTTTTTTCTCTTACTGTTACTTTATCTAGTTTTTCATTTTAAAAAAGTTTCTAGATTCTTTATTTTCAAATGAAATATCTTAAATCTATTGAAAGGAACAATTGAACATCACTAATTCAAAGTAATTTTGAAGATAGCCAGTTAAGAATTAATGAAAAAGTTTAATTGTAGGATAGGCTAAAAAATGCTGCTTTAATTTTTCCATATATAGTACATGTACTTAATAGGGAGCCCATTCATTTATGCCATTGCTTATTGGGAATTTCTATTAATAAAGAATATGATTTACAACAAGTTTATTAGTTATTATGCAAAGTAACATTTAAAAGTGGTATACTTAAGATAGTCCTCTTGGCAGTATTATTTGATGAATCAAGTGAATTAATCGTTTAATTTTTCCATCTTTTGAAAATTATTTATCTGGATGCTATTAATTAAAATATGCAGTTATACTTTAAATATGCTTGTTGTTAAAAATGTGTCTAAGAGTAAGTGACTAATTTTCTTTCTTTCCCTTCCCTTTCCCTTTGCCCTTCTTCTACCCTTTCCTTTCCTTTTCCCTTTCCTTCTAGTATTCTATGGCATAGCCATATTTTGTCTGGTTGCCTTAGTAAGGGCCTCAATAACTGATCCAGGAAGACTCCCTGAAAACCCTAAGATCCCACATGGAGGTATGGTACTCTTCAGATTTATCAGTTTTACTTTTTCAGAATTACTCTTCTTATCAATGTATTTATTGCCTTTAGTATGCATTAGTTATACATGACATCTATTACAGCTTTCAAGTTTTTTCTCAGATGTTTCCTTTCTAGAGTTCTCTATTTAAAATTGCAAATCCCAGTTGACTCCTCATACCCCTCTCCTTGGCTCTCTCTTTCAGTTTGTGCATTGGTTTCTCTCTCCTCCTACCCTCGATCTGTATGACCTCGCTGAGGGTGAAGATTTGTTGTTTCGTTTTCATTTGTTCAGAGCTGTATCCTCAGTGCCTGGAACAGTCTCTGTCACTTAGTAAATACTGGGTAAATATTTGTTGAGTGGTATATAATTATTTGAGAAATTAGTATTTTTATTTAATAATACAATTTTTATGAAAAATTTCATGATTAAAAAAATATTGGCAACTAGTTAAAAATTTTAAAAAATTGTTTTAAAATGAATACCAAGCAGATTAATATCTGTGGGCCTAATTGAATCATGAAACCACATTGTTACCTTTAGCTTATAGACTAGCAACGGAGGACACCATCTTGCTGACTATTTGGATATCTGCATTATATCTGGTCCCATTGACATTTGGCCTATTTTTCTTCACTAAGTTCAGAAGACTTCTGTCCAATAAAAAAGATATGTTTATTTATCATATTTTAATGTTTTCAAAGCCTCTTGATATCTATCTCATGACATATAATCCTCAGGGTAATTGTATGAGGTAGGTAGCCTGCGTGACCAGAAGCATAGATTATGCTTTATAGGTCACATGGCAGAATATTACAGAAAGATTTGAGGCACAGAACCTTGTTCCACCAGCTTTTACTATGGCTTTAAATATGGATTAAAAAAAAATCGTAACCTTCTGGTTCAAAGGTCGATGCTCAACCACTGAGCCAGGCTGTCTGGGCCCCAGAATTTGATTTTACAAGCTTTTCAGCATGCAGATAAAATAGTCAAGTGAAATAATTAAATGCTATTTATATTATTCAAATTATTCACACATGTCTGAAATACAGAAATATTACTTTTGTCACTTTCAAATTTCATGAAATGATTTTATTCAATCTCTTAACTTTTTAAAATAGCTTTATTGAGTATAATTCATATGCAATATAATTTATCCATTTAAATTATACACTTTAGTGGCGTTTAGTATATTCACAGAGTTATGCAACTGTCACCACAATCAGTCTTAGAACATTTCATCATCAAGCTGTTTCTTAACTAGTAATTTTGACTTTACTGTTTTTTGTCATTACTAGAGCTACTTTTTGACATATGGTTAGAGAACAAAATCTTCCTTCTAAGTTTTAAAAAATATATCATGTTTTAAATTTGTCTAATATTGTCCCTTGAAATTTAACCCATGCTGTTAATGCTGAGGGTCATGTATTCACTCATAGTTTTGCCTTTTTCCTCCCTCTTATATTGTTTTATTTTATTATTGTTATTTTTGTTAGTCCTCATTTGAGGATATTTTTTCTATTGATATTTAGATAGAGTAGAAGGGGCGGAGAAGAGAGAGAGAGAAACATTGATGTGAGAGAAATACGTCGGTTGGTTGCCTCCTTCATGCACCCAACTGGGGCCAGGGATCAAACCTGCAATCCAGGTATGTGCCCTTCACCAGAAATCGAACCCATGACCCTTTGGTGTGCGGCTGGTGCTCTAACCTCTGGACACACCAGCCAAGGCTTATATTGCTTTTTCTATTTTAAATTTTTATTTTTAATCCTCACATCAGGATATGCTTTTTTTAAATTGCTTTTTAAAGAGCAGAAGGGAGAAAGAGAGAGAGAGAGAGAGAGAGAGAGAGAGAGAGAGAGAGAGAGAACTATCGATATGAAAGAGAAACATCAATCAGTTGCCTCCCATAGGTGTCCCGACTGGGGATGGAACCCGAAACCCAGGCATGTGCCCTGACTGGGAATAGAACCCACACCTTTTGTTGTATTGGACAATGCTCCAACCAACTGAGCCACCTGGCCAGGGCTTATAACGCTTTTTAAAGGTCATGTGTAGGAGACTTACTAACATTTATTTCCTACATTGGCAACCATTTCTGTCAGGAAACCACTATTAAGACCCAAACCTTGTATTCATTTTGGTAGTTTTAAATTATATTTTTCCCCAAAACATTACTTTGTGTTTGAAATGCAGTAATTGAGAGAAGGCCCCTTAACAATTTGAGTCTTTTAAGACTAAAACAGAAGGTGCTTCCTTTCTGAGGGATAAACAAAACAAAATAAAACCTTGTTTTATATTCATTCATATATTTACAGCATTAATAAGGATCCATGTTAAACAGTGTTATGCTCACCTGGAAAACTGCTGAATATTCTATTGAGATCTTCCCATGGGACCTCCCCTAAAATCTTCACCCTTAAAGCCCTTAGAGGAGGACCCTGTGTGCTCTTCCTCGGGAGCACGCCCTTGCCTTTCCCTTTCTCTGCCCTCTTCCCCCTCCCTGTCCCAGGCCCATTACCATTAGCTTCCTCACTTCCAAGCTCCAAGGGCCCTTCCAGGTAACTTGTTTCCTAAGTCTATTTCTTCTAGGAATTACCTTTCTACCTCTATGATTTACCAAATAAATGTTCTCTTACAAAAAAAAGTGATGCTGTGTACTTATATTAAAATCTCAGTCATTTGTGGAGTTTGTCTTTTTCTCTCTGATTAGTTTTAGGTTTTGATTTTTCTTCTTAAAAATACATGTGAGTTTTTAATTTATTTATAGTTATCATAAAGTAGCAATTGGATTTTCTCTCCCATAGGCTTTTATTTTATATTTTGAGATGGCTGGTACAAAGTATTGTAGGTAGTTATCAGACATCAGAATATATTGGCCACCAGGTCCCATTGGCACGTGCATACACCTGAAGAAGGAAAGGGAGAAGACTAAGACATGAATTACAGATTTGTAGGTTGAAACTATTCTAATAACCTCCTAAACCCATCTGAAAATCTTTTCCAAATCCCCCCCATAAACTTTCCCCAATGAACTCGTTAATATGAGAAAATAAAATGGTTTGAGGGTTGGGAATGCAATCTCTGTTTCTCTAATGAGATTATAGGATTGATTTTGATTTATTAATCCATGAAACCAGAACTCACCATTATTCCTTTATTATAGCCTTTAGATAAAATTTCTAGAAATTTGTTTAAATAAAATTCTGTTTTAATAATTTGGTTGTATTTTAGAGTTTTATCATTGAATTTTACTTGTAGCAATATATCCCAAACCCAAATACATTGTTTTCTATCCCTTAGTTTGACTAATAATAATGTCTTATTTTTTTATAGTATTTAAAATTAGAAACATACAAAATCAGACATCATAAAACAGAGTAACAACATTTATGTGAAATACTGGAGACTAGAGGAAAAATTTCTTAGACCTATATATTGAAGACTTTCTATAAAATCTCTAAACAATTGTTGCTAAATTTCAACATTACTCATTTACCTTCATTAAATGGATTTTAATTTTTTTCTCTAGAAAGGGAGTTCTGGGAATTATGTAACAAGTGTAATTTGATGAGACCAAAGCGTTCCCACCACTGCAGCCGCTGCGGCCACTGTGTTAGGAGAATGGATCATCACTGTCCATGGTAAGAAAGAAATAATTCACTTTTAGAAAAAACTAGGAAAACTAAATTGTAGTACTTAGCAGGTTTAAACAAAAGTTACATGAAGGTGATGTAGTTTAAAAACACCTTTTAATAAGCATTCATTTTTGATATGGTTTTATGAACTCCCCAAATCATTTTTTTCCCACAGAGATCCTATCTTTTCTAACAAGGAAATAATTCTAGTAGAAAGCTAAGAATTAACATGCAGCCAAATATGCAAAGGACTAAGGTGGTTATATTAAATGAGGCATGTATGTAAAACATTTTGTACAGTGTCTGAGACTTAGAAAGTACTTAAATAGTAGCTCTTATTGTTTTTAACTATAATAAACCATATACATCCCATTGTTTATATTTCCCTTTCCATTTGTTTAAAGAATAATACATTTCAGGTACCCTGACCTCATTCCTCTCCCTTTAAGCCTTTTTCAGTATTATGTGTTTTAGGTATTAACATTACATACATGCTGGATGTGTGTAAGTGGAAATCAGCTAATTCTGCTGAACAGCCAACATTTTTGGTCAATAGGGGGCTCTCTTGTAATATTTAAAGAAAATGTTTACTTGAAAAATAGAATTTTTAAAACAAATGCTGTGAGAATTCTGCATTGTATCTCATTTCAAAGCTGTCACAAAAATCTGTGAACAAGGTATTGTATTTAAATGTTGTTCTAGCATGGGATAACTGTATAAATATTTAAACTGGTGTAGTGTAGCACTCTATAAACATATCTCTACATCTATGTTTATGTTTGTACATACATGCATGCATATATACAAAGTTAACTATATAGCAGGCTTGTTAAATTTATAACTGCTTATATCTAAAGTTGACTCGAGGGAAGAGTTTAGCTTTGTCTAGTAATGCTAATCAATTTAGCGTTTCCCTTACTTGTTGATAACTTATTTTGATAGCACAAGTTATTAGCAAGGTTTTAGTGGAAATTTAGGTTTTACTATAAACTGATTATTTAAGTAGATAAAAAGCACTGTTATTTATTTTATTTTTTTAAAATATATTTTATTTTTTTACAGAAAGGAAGGGAGAGGGATAGAGAGTTAGAAACATTGATGAGAAACATCGATCAGCTGTCTCCTGCACACCCCCTACTGGGGATGTTGCCCACAACCAAGGTACATGCCCTTGACCGGAATCGAACCTGGGACCCTTGAGTCAGCAGGCTGACGCTCTATCCACTGAGCCAAACCGGTTAGGGCTAAAAAGCACTTTTAGATAAAAGCACTTTGTTACTCTATATATTTAATCAATAAGATAGTATAGTTTGTAACACATAGTTGGTCTTTAAAAATGTGCCTAGAATTTATACAGGTTAATCCTCGAGTGTTTTCTATAATTCAGTGATCTCTTTATAATTATAATAATAATAGATTAATAAAAGCTAGGTAAACTGGTAAGTGGTAATCACACTGAAAAACTCAATTTTATACACTTTTTAGAGCAATGTTTTTGATTAACTAAAAATATAATAAATGTTCATATACAGTTGGATATTGATACTTCCTTTTAAAAGACTGCAATATAGTTTAAGCTTAAAAACATAAACAGTGAATAAGGAAATATTTTGGTACTATAGAGATTAGTGATATTTTTTATTTATTTTTAAAGAATAAAGATTAACTCAGTGACAAAATAAAGTGCTGTTTAGCCTAAACTCAAAGATTGTGGTGAGTTCTCTTTCTAGGCCTCTTGCTTCCAATTTAGTCAACTTCTCAGAATATTGGGAAGAAGAGTGGAAGAAGAAAGAGTTGGAAGATAGGAAAAGAGGGTAGACCATGGGCCTGAATAGATTTAGGGATTTTATGATTTAATTTCCTAATAGAATGTTGTTGAGATACTCAGAATGAGGGAAACTATACAGTGTAAATTGGAAGAAAAGAGAATTTTTGTTGTTTTCAGAAACGGCATTGTTCTAACTGCCTAAAGCTTTAGATTTGGAGGTCAATTCTCAAGTCACCATAAGATTTTCTCTGATCTGGATCTGATCACTTTTTCTATGTAGTATAATTGTTACCAAAAGAACTCTTATACCTATAAACTAAGAACCTTAGTGCTTCTTAAAGCTCTCTGGTTAAGAAAAATGCCAGTATCATAGCAGTTGTTCTCAAATTTAGGGGGACGGGAAGGATAGGACAAGGAAACGTCATCTTTCAAGCAGTCTCTGTTGAAGAGTGCATATATAAACACTTTTTGATAGCCCTGCTTGTAACAAAACACAAGACATTTATTAACAAAGAATGAGCTCTTAAGTCTAAGGAATGCCTCTGCAAGGTTTTCTGTTCAGTTCAGTTCTATATCTGATTTTAAAAAATACTTTAGCAATACACTTTTAAAACAATTTTAGTTAGGAATTGAACCTATTATATAGTTTTTTAAAGACAGTGCCAGTGCCCTGGCTGGTTTGGTTCAGTGGATAGAGTATTGGCCTGAGGACTGAAGGGTCCTGAGTTCGATTTCTGTCAAGGGCACATGCCTGGGTTGCAGGCTCAATCCCAGTAGGGGGTGTGCAGGAGGCAGCCGATCAATGATTCTCATCATTGATGTTTCTATCTTTCTCTCCCTCTCCCTTCCTCTCTCCAAAAATCAATAAAAATATATACCAAAAAAAAACCCCAACAAAAACTAAAAAACATTCTTCTAAAAAAACACACCACAAAACAGTGCCAGTATAATATATTGAAATAAAAACATTTGTACAGGGTAACTTATAGTTCTGAACTAGGGTTTTCACCTGGAATTGTAAAATATTTTGAAAATTTGGGTACAATAAATTTTGAAACAAAAAAACATTTAGCTTGCATTAGCTTTGAAATTTTGGGGATTATGACATTAATCGTTTTTTCCTAGTTATGGTTCACTATTGTGTTGCTGGAATTGTAGCTCTAAGAATCTGTAAGTAGTTTTGGATATATGTCTATTTTTAGCAACCAAGGATAGCTTTTAAAAGTAAGAAGAATAGTGAATGCTTTGCAGTTATGTCAGAGTGGCAGGATTAAGTTATTTTACTTCACATCATTCAAATTGCTCTCGAAGCTAGAATGCTTCATAGAAGAGCACTGTATAGGAGAAGGTTCTTGTTTTCTTCATCGCTAACTGTACTTGCTTTGGCAAGTGTCTTAAGTTCTAACTGTACAGCTCTGGCAAGTTTAACTCTTTTGTTCCTGTTCTCACATCTGCTCTTCCTGCCTCACGGGGTGGTTCTGATATAGAAGAATCATATATATGGACTTCCTTTGTAAAGTACAAAGTGCTTTACAGATATTATATCTTTTCCTATGTACTGTTTGCTTTTAGGTTTGAGTGATGTTAGTCTGTCTCCATGAAGTTACCCATATAGGAAGTTCTTTTGTGTTTATTTTTACCAATTCTGAAATTAACATCTTACTAAAGTTTAATTTCTTTTTATTTTTTTTCTTCAGGATTAACAATTGTGTTGGTGAAGATAATCATTGGCTTTTTCTGCAATTGTGTTTCTACACTGAACTTCTTACTTGCTATGCACTGATGTTTTCTTTCTGCCACTATTATTACTTTCTTCCATTAAAAAAGCGTAACTTGGTAAGAAATGTTTATATTCACTAATGTTAGAGCAGCTATAGCATACAGTTATTAACATGTTTCCTTTATGTTCAGAAGATTGAAAACAAAAGCAATAAAAATAAACCCAAAATTAATGGATTTTAAGATATATTGGGATTGAGAAAGTAGACCCTAATCGGACATTACCTTTTAACCAGATCCATTTATGGTTATTAGTGTTGAATGACTTTCTTTAAAAAGCAATGTAATAGATCTTTTGATATACAGTATATGTTTTGGTTTAAAATATCTACAATAATGAGAAACACTTGTTTCTTTTCAGGAATAAAAACAGACTTTAATATTTTAAAGTTTTTCAAAGGAACTTTAAATTATTGAGAAAAAAACTTTTCCCCCTAACTTTGAACAATATATAATGTAATAATTATAAGAATTTGTAGGATGCTTCAGAAAGTTGTTATATATATCATTTGAGGAAAGACAGTACTTTTCTTGCTCTGTAGAGGAAATACAACAGATGTTAATAATACTTGCCCAAAATAGTGTCAGAGGTGGTGGTATTGGTAATAGCTGCAACTAGGAGTTTTAAGCCCTTGACTATATATATCAACACTATGCTATGGCTTGTCATTTTAGTTCTCACTCTAATACTCATAACCACCACTTGAGGTGAGTACAATTTTTGCCCACTTTCATAGATGAGGAAGTAGACTAACAGACTTTTAATTAGTAGTTGTTAAAGGCACAAAGCTAAGAAGTAATTATTCAACTGGTTTTAGTTGGAGAGCTGGGATTTGAACCTGATTTTGTGTTTTCTGAATCTTACCTTGTGTGCTTTCTTATAGAGCTGGTTTTTGAGTCTCATATTGTATGTCACTTAGACTTTGATTGTGTTTTTAAAATAATTGTGTGTGTGTGTGAGAGAGAGAGCGAGCAAGCGAGAATGCACAGGTGTGCAAATGTGCATGTGAGGAAGAAAGGGGAGGAGAGAGGAAGATAGAAAAATCTTGATAGGAAATTTTTCTTATTTATATTATTTAAATCTTTTATATTAAAAATAACAAGTTCACTGGTGGTGCACATAATTAAATTTTGGAATAAGGGAGAGAAGGTCTTTAAGTTCTATATATTTATATTTCTTGTACACATTTTATGTAATTAAAAGGACATTTGTTACTGTTTCTGGGCTCTGATTATGCTTATTAAATACAGATAATTGAGCAACTGAAATTATATACAAGTAACTGAAAAAAGTTCAGTTTGGGAACTTTAAATATTGATATTTTCACACTATTTTGTGTATGCCAGTACTATATATAGTTTTAGGAATATTTCATCTTATTTGTAGAATAATTTCTGATCTGATTGGTACTGTATTTAGACTTTGTAAAAGGTTGTACATAGTTCCCCAAGAGTAACCTGTTTCAAATAATTGAGCCTAATAAGGAAAGCATTAAAATAAAATTGCCCAGTAAGATTAAGGTCATAATTTTTTTAACAGTGAGAGAGAAAATTTATTGCTGTTAATGAAAAGCTAATAGAAATTCTCTAGGAGGGAATGCATTGATTTATCTTGGAGGAATTGGCAAACTATGGACCTTGGGTTAAATTAGACCCTCTACCTATTTTTAAAAAAATTGTTTATTTTATTGATTTTAGAGAGAAAGGGAGGGAGAAGGGAGAGAAAGAGGACGGTAGGTAGGGATGGAGAGAGTGAGAAACATTGATCAATTGCTTCCTGCATGCACCATGACCAGGATTAAACCCACAACCTGGTATGTGCCCTGATCTGGAATCAACCCATGACCTTTTGATATACTGCACAATGCTCCAACCAACTGAGCCCACACTGGCCAGGGCAACTATTAGGATCTTTATACTGAGTTTGCCAACCCCTCGTAGTGGAATGATCTTGGCTTTGTAAACAGATATACCTAGGATCAATGCCTGGCATTTCTTATTATATGTATAACCTTTGACACATCGTTTAATCTTCCTGAAATTGCAATGTTGTTTTTTTCTAAAAAATGTAAATTATTATGAGATTAAATAAGATAACACATGTAAAAGTACCTTGTATATAATATATATTTAATTTATGTTACATTTGATTTTGGTGAAAGCTCTCAGAAGGAAGGGACAATTTATCTTTGGCTTATTTTTAGGCTGTTTAAAAACATTACTGGGAAATTTACCATAGACTAAAGAAGTTCCAATACCAAATAAGAATAGAGTGGTAATACTCAATCGAAGGATTAGACATTTGAAATTACAAAATACAATTTTCTTTCCAAATGAAAGGTAGAAACTCTGGAAAAATTATTACTACCAATTTACATTTTTAATGGATGTTGATAGAAGACTAGCAGCATAGTAAAAGTTTATTAAGAGATTAAAAATCTAGGAGGAAACGATAAAATGAGTATAAGTTGGGTTTTGAAAATTCAAATCAGATTTTCCTTAAAGCAGTCAATCATAGAAGCAATACAGGTGATTTTTAATTTTAAGAAATCATAAGAACGTTAACCAATAGGTTTATCAAATAGAAATTAAATAATTAGCTAGCTCATGTTGGTTGTAAATAAGCATCTTAAATAATAAGCAATAAATTATAAATAGTTCTAATTATAAATTGACAGATATTCTAGTAGTGTTGAGCAGGAATTGTTCTCTAAACCAAGTATCCTTAATGTATTAAGTAGGGTGCTTTCATAATTACTTTCATGTTAGACATAATGAAATTGAAACCCAAAGAGGTTATGTTATGACATTTCCAAAGTCATATTGAAGAATTTAGTATGTTTTAACCTTGTTTTTGATATATTCTCTGAATCATGAAGTGATTCATATATTATCAAGTTAGATATATGGAGAACTTTACCATATGTTGCCCAATATAAGAAAAGACAATTTTGTTGGACTAAGTTAAATTCATAAAAATAGAATGTTTATTATTGTTGTTTCTAAACTACTTTAGTTTACTAGAGCAAAGCTAAATTCTAGGACCAGAATTATTATATAAGTAAGCCTGGAGACCATGTTTTACATTAGATCCTCAGACCTTACTGTACTACCCTTTTAACAACCTCTCCCTGTTCCTGGCAGCCTCTGTGCCTACTGCAGCCTCGTGGCCCACAGTTCCTTTCAAGGTGCACGAATTCATGCATTGGGCCCCTAGAATTTAATATAATCCATGGAATAGCTTTTCATTTATTAGTATCTTCATTTTTTTTTCATCAATATCTTATAGGTTTCACTGTACTGATCTATCACCTTCTAGGTAAACTTATTCCTAAGTATTTTATTCCTTTTGATTTATTTGAAAACAGGACTGTTGTCTTAATATTTCTTTCTCATAGTTTTTAGTGCATAGAAATGCAGCTGATATTAATGTATTTATTCTGTCTTCTGTAACTTTACTGAATTTGTTTACTAGTGCTAATAATTTTTTGGTAGAATCTTTGTTTTTTCCTATACAATATGTCATCTATAAATAGAAATAATTTTATTTTTTCCTTTCTAATATGGAGGCCTTTTATTTTATTTTTCTTGCCTAATTGCTTTGACTTCCAATACTATGTTGAATAAAAGTGGTGAAAGTAGGCACCCTTGTCTTTTCCTGATTTTAGAAAAAAAAGCTTTTGGCCTTTCAACCATTAAGTATGAGGCTTCTGTGAGCTTGTCATATCTAACCTTTATTATGTTGAAGTATGTTCCTGGTATACCCAGTTTTTTGAGAGTTTTGTCATAAATGGATGTTGAATTTCATTAAGTGCTATTTTTGCATCTGTTGAGGTGATTATATGATTTTTGTCTTCCATTTTGTGAATGTAGTAAATCACATTGCTTGGTTTGCAGATGTTAAAGCATCTTTGCGTCTTTGGAATTAAATCCCACTTGATCATGGTATATGATTCTTTTAATGTGTTGTTGAATGTGGCTTGCTGATATATTTTAGATTTTTGCCTCTCTGTTCATCAGGAATGTTGGCTCTTCTGTTATGTAGGTTTGGTATTAGGTAAATACTGGCCTTATAACATGATTATGGAAGTATTTCCTCTTTAATTTTTTTGAAAAGTTTAATGAGGGTTGGTGTTAATTCTTCTTTAAATGTTTGGCAGAATTGACCAATAAAGCCATCTGGTCCTATACTTTTCTTTTTTGGGAGGTTTTTGATAATTGATTCAGTCTCCTTAGTAATTGGTCTGTTTAAATTTGCTGTTTCTTTATGATTTGGTCTTGATGGCTTTCATGTTTCTAGGAATTTATTCATTTCTTCTGTCCAACTTATTGGTATGTAATTTTCATGGTAGTCTTTTATGATCCTTTGTATTTGTATGGTATCATTTGTAATGTTTCCTTTTCATTTTTTATTTTATTTATTTAAGTTCTCTCTTTTTTTTTGAGTGAGTATAGCTAAATGTTTGTCTTTTTTGTTTATCTTTTCAAAAAAACAGCTTTTAGTTTCCTTTATTTCTCATCTTTTAAGTCTCTATTTTATTTACTTCTGCTCTTAGTCATTTCTTTCTAACTTTTGGCTTGGTTCTTTTTTTTCTAGTTTACTCCTTTTTTTTTGGACAAGCAATAGGAGAAAGTTCATCTTGATTCAGTCAGCAGTGTATATATAACAAACACTTCTAAAGCTAAATAACAACATTGGTCTTAATACTGCAGTTCTTTTGATGATGACGTTTATTGCATTTATTAAGATTTTGTAAGGAATTATGCTTATTGGGTTTGTTTTCGTGAAAGACTCGTTTCAGTTTGCCTTTTCTCCTATAACGTAGTCCTTCAGGACTCTCAGCTAAAAAACTTAGGTGCTTAATGTAGGTTGTGCCTTCTTATTTTCCCAGCTCTGTGATAGTGCAGAGAGAGCTCTGAGCCTCCATTTTTACTCAATCTGTCATAAGTACCGCTTATGAATTGCCAAGTACTTTAAGGTAATAAAGCAGTGCAGAATGTATGAATCACCTTAATGCATTTTTACTCTCTCTGGGATGTTGGCCCTTTAAGGCCTA